TAGTGGTCTTTTAATAAGTGATATAAGCGATCACCTACCAATATTCATAATACATCATAGTCAAATAAAAAAATAACCAAAGAAATTGAACAGATAAAGCATATTAGAATAAGGTCAGAGGAAGCAATAACAACATTTTTTAATGACCTGTTAAAGGAAAACTGGAGTGAGGTTTATGTTAAGGATGTGAACATAGCATATGATACATTTTTAAAAAACATATACAACCCTTTATGATAAGAATTGCCCAATACTGACATGTAAAAAAAAAAAAAAAAAGCAAAATGTTGATGTAAAACCTTGGTTAACTAAGGGACTACTAAAATCCTGTAGGAAGAAATAAATAAATTATGTAGAGATTTTGCCCGACTTCCATCTAAAAGCACAGAAATGAAGTATAGGACTTATAAAAATAAATTGACAACAATAACAAGGCAAGCGAAAAAAGATTATAATTTAAGGTTGAAGGAAAGTAAAGGTGATATCAAGAGAACATGGAGAATCTTGAATAGCGTTGTAAGACCTAGGTCTTTTCACGCCAATTGTCCAGATTACTTTATTAAAGGAGATAACGTTCTGAGGGATAAAAATGTGGTGCTGAATGAAGTAATTCATTTTTTGTAAACATAGGGCCAAGTCTGGCCAAATCTATGGAAACAAAAATTAAGGAAGATATAAAAATACAAGGAGGGAGTAGCATTCTACAGTCTATATTTTTGGAAGATGTAAATGAAAATGAAATATTGACAATAGTAAAGAAAAGTAAAAATAAAACACCTGTTGATTGTCATGGGATTGACATGACTATAGTAAAGAAAACAACTGAGTATGTTGTTAAACCACTTACTTATGTTTGTAATTTGTCTGTTCAGAATGGTATACTCCCAGAAAAAATGAAAACCGCTAAAGTAATTCTGATATTTAAAAACAGTGATAGACATAGCTTTGATAATTACAGACCAATCGCAGTGCTTCCCCAGTTTTCTAAAGTGCTTGAAAAATGGTTCACTCAGAAACTAGACAACTTTACTGAAAACAATAAACTGCTGAGTGACAATCAGTATGGATTTCGATCAAGTAAATCTACATCCTTGCTTCACTCCTAGCCCATTTATCTACTCTGTCATCCAAAATAATGCTGCTGGGTGACTTCAGTATTCACATGGACAATAACACGCTCCCCATCACTAAGGACTTTTCTTCATGTCTCCATAGTCATGGGTTTCACCAACACATCAATATTCCGACCCACAACAAAGGACACATCCTAGACTTAATCTGCTGCTCTGGTCTCACTCCTCTCAACTGCTTAGCTACTGATCTCCACATATCCGACCACTTCTTTCTTTCATTTTCTCTCCAACTACCTGTTAGCCGTACTAAGACACTACGTCTTATTCATTTTAGGAAAATCAACGACATCAATCTATACACTCTAGACACTCTCTCTTCACATCTTTCAACTATTAACTTCACTGACAAACTCTCCTCTCCCGATGAACTGACTAACCACTACAATTCCAGCCTACAAAACATCCTTGACACCTTGGCTCCATTAAAAACCCATACTGTCTGTTTTTCCACCTCTGCCCCCTGGTTCACATCTAACCTCAGAACATTAAAAGCTGAAGGAGGCCAGCTGGAGCGCCTCTACAAGAGAACGAGCCTCTCTATACACAAAGACCTGTACATCGCCCACCTAGCCCATTATAAGGATTCTATTTCTCATACCAAATCAGATTACTACTCCAGTCTCATCAACTATAACAACGGAAACTCCAAAACTCTTTTCTCAGTCCTCCATAAAATTTTCTATTCTCCCTCTATACTACCCCTTCACTTCTACTCCACTGACACCTGTAATAGCATCCTTTCCTTTTTTAACCATAAAATTACCCAAATCCACCAGAGTCTTAGCCCGGCTGACCCCCACGTACTTCCCCCTGACTATCTCACGTTCTTTGAATCCTTCTCAGACTTCTCAGTTCCTGATGCCTCTTATATCTCGGATTTAATATGCAAATCCAAGCCCACCACCTGTCAGCTTGACCCACTCCCATCTTCCCTGGTTAAATCCTGCCTCTCATCCCTGTTACCCTTCATTTGCTCCATCATTCATGCCTCCCTCTGGACTGGAATCGTTCCCTCAGCCTTAAAAACTACAGCTCTAACCCCGTTTCTCAAAAAGCCCGGCTCAGACCCCAACAATTTTAATAACATTCGCCCCATCTCCAACTTACCATTTATCTCTAAGATACTTGAAAAAGTTGTTGCTAACCAACTACACTCTCATCTATCCAGCAACTCCCTTTACGAAGTCTTCCAGTCTGGTTTCCGCCCCCACCACAGCACAGAAATGGCTCTGATCAAAATCACAAATGACCTCCTTCTTGCAGCAGACTCAGGCCAGATTTCCATCCTCATCCTACTCGATCTCAAGTGCAGCATTTGACACCATCTCACACACAGTTCTACTCCATAGACTATCCACCATCGGCATTTCAAAAACTCCTCTAAATTGGTTCAAATCTTATCTATCTAATCACACTCAATTTGTCCAACTGCGCACCTTCCACTCTAACCCCAAGCCAGTTACCTCTGGAGTTTCTCAGGGCTCAGTCTTAGGTCCCCTTCTCTTCATAATCTACTTACTCCCACTTGGCAATATATTCAGGAAATTTAATATTCATTTTCACTGCTACGCCAATGACACCCAGCTCTACTTCTCTACCCAACCAAACCCCCCGCTCCCTTCATCCTCCCTTCACAGTTGCCTCACCGAAGTCAAATCCTGGTTTTCTTCTAACTTTCTACAGCTCAACAGTAATAAGACTGAGCACTGGCACCAAGTCATCTCTATCCAAGACCAGTTCATTCTCACTCAGCTTCGACAACACCACACTTCTCCCTTCCGCCAAAGCTAAGAGCTTGGGTGTCATCTTAGACAACACCTTATCCTTCATTCCTCATATTAACAACACAATAAAAACTGCTTATTTTCATCTTTGCAATATCAATCGGCTCCGCCCCTCCCTCAGTCAGCACTCCACTGCTATTTTGGTCCACAGCCTGGTCACCAGTTGCATCGATTACTGTAATGCCCTCCTCTCTGGTCTCCCTCTAAAATCACTCAACAAGTTACAGTTAGTCCAAAATTCAGCTGCCCGGATAATCACCAAGACCTCCACTTTTGATCACATTACCCCTGTCCTGCAACAACTTCACTGGCTCCCTGTCAAATACAGAATTGACTATAAGATACTTCTTCATGCCTTTAAAACCATCCATAATCTCGCTCCCCTATATCTTTCTAATCTCCTCCACATTGTCACTCCCACTCGCTCTCTCCGATCATCATCTTCACCTTCCCTGTCTGTTCCTCGCACTCGTCTCAGTACTATGGGAGCCAGAGCTTTCAGCCACTCAGCTCCAAAACTCTGGAACACTCTACCGCCCGACCTCCACAATGTAAACTCCTTCTCAACCTTCAAGTCTCAACTCAAAACTCACATGTTCCGCCTGGCTTACTCACTGTAACTGTCCTCCATCCATCTACTCTTTTTAGTCTATTATCCATTGCACTGCCCCGACTCTACCCTTGGGAATTACTCTTGGCATTTATTTCTTGTTGTTTGTATTGCTTGCTTGTTATATTTTGTCTTGTACAGTGACCTTGAGAGCTTTGAAAGGCACTTGAAATAAAATGTATTATTATTATTATTATTATTATTATTATTATTATTATTATTATTATTATTAGATGGTACTTCAGTTGAAAGAGTAAATGAAGTAAGATTTTTAGGGGTAATCTTGGATCATAAACTTAATTGGAAACCCCATATAAAATATATAAAACAAAAACTGTGTAAAAGTATTGGACTTTTAAATAAAGTAAAAAGTATTTTGAAGTCATCAACACTTCATATAGTATATTATTCATTTATTGTTCCATACTTGACTTATTGTATAGAGGTTTGGGGCAACACATATAAAACAAACACTAATCCTTTGTTTTTATTACAGAAGAAAGCTATGAGAATTATATATAAAGTAGATGCTAGGGAACATACCAATAGACTTTTTATTGAATCAAAAATGATGAAATTCAGGGATCTGGTTAATTTGAAAACTTTACTGATTATGTTCAGGGCAAAAAGAGGTTACTGCCAGTGAAGGTACGGACGTTTTTTGTTTTGGTTTCAAATGATGGAAAAAATATAAAGAAGCCTGAGTTTAAAAGAGTTTTTGCACGAACAACATTAAAGCAAATGTGTATTTCAGTATATAGAGTAAAATTATGGAATAATCTGGATCATGACCTGAAAAAATGTTTAACTACCAAGTCCCACTCAAGTAAACATAAAGATGTGTTCTTATAATCCTGTAGAACAGCGACCATAGCAGAAACATCTGTTTTATTTTGAAGGTGGCATATAGTCAACAATGGGCACTAAAGAGGAAATATTTCTCAAGGATGTAGATGGAGTTTAATACATGTAATGAAACAAATCTGCTCAGCTTTCTTAAATCCAAGAATATAGAAGAATGTGAGTTAATTACAATTTTTCTCTCATGCCCATGATTCCGAAGGTTTTTTATGAGTGGGGAGCTGGAGGAGATTCTTCATCGATGGACAAAATTGTAGTTTATTCTAGGTGCTCTTTTGGGAAATTGAGCCTGGAATTGCTCCGGATTCAGCATCCCACATACTCACAACACTTTATCTGGAAACGCTCTCATCTGTATTGTTGGCGGATGTAGAAGACATTCCAGTTACAGTCCAAAGCATGTCATCAACAACATTCAGCATTACGTTTTATTTAATTATTTTCAGCTCCAGAGTAACAGAATGACACCACTTAGTCCAATCCCGCTGTTACCGAAACGCGTCCCATCAGGGACCTTCCAGGAGAGAATCCTCACTGAGCTACAGCCTCAATCAGCACTCCAGCATTTGCTCCACTGGGAATATAACATGGCTCTCACACACTTTCACACAGGCGGCCAAGACAAGTGACAGCGCTGCACTCCCACCACCCAAACTGATAGCCATGATCCGGAGAGGCCCCCTGCTACGGCTCAGATCAGAGATCAGCTCGCTGCTCGATGGCTAGACCTCTACACTCAAAGAGCTGGGGGCCTTTCTGCTGAGGTAGGTCTCAGCCGCCCTCTGCAGCACAGGTCCTCACAAGTGTGAGCCATTTTTCTGCTGCACTTGTTTAGTTGAGTCAAGTGGCATTCATGTCGGAATAAAACCGATGCTCTCTGTAGGTGAGGCATTCCTGGAAACACCACATCCATAAGAGTGCAACAGTGTTTGTTATTTCCTGACTTTCTAACCACAGTCCCTCATTGGCATTAGTGCTGATGTCCCTCTGTGGCTCAGTGACAAGCCATCAGTCACGGTAACACAGTTTGTTTCTGGGAGGATGGATTCAATATTGAAACATTTATTAAGATACCTCCAATTTCACCTTTGCTAATAAATTATTCATTAATGCTTAATGGGCTCCAGTTTTCTCCCGAAAATTGCTCCATTGAGACTTTAGCCCTGGTTAAGTTTAGAAGAAGCACATTTAAATGGAAAAATCTATTAGCCAGCATTGTCTGCATTCTATATGAGAAATACTGTAGCGTAATGAATATAGACGTCCTGTTAACAATGCTGAATGAACTCTGCTGTGTGCTTTAGCTGCATGGCTTGGTTGTGTCGTTGTGTATTTGTCCCCACTTTCACTCTGTGCTGCTTTTCTTTTCATTGCAGAATCCCACACTGCATAGTAGCACATGGATTTCAAGACTTCAAATGAAGAGGTTAGTAGGTTACAGATCATGGCTATATTACCAGCTGGAAGTACCTTTCTGAATGACATTGGTTCACGAGATTGATGAGCTAATGACTAGTCCGAGAACACCCAAGGCTAAAGTGGATGGCGCCAATCAACTTCACATTAGCTCATATGAATGTTATTTTACCTTTTTATGTTTGCAACAGCATCACTTTTCCATTACATGTTTATTTTTGCACAAATATAAAGAAATTCCTCACAGATCAGATAATCCGCTGCAAACATGCCAACTTGGTAGCTGAATTTAATCTGCAGTGAGACTCTGGTCTTCAGCCCGGTTCACATGGCAGGATATTCATGTCGATCATTGACCAGCTCTTCCACCTCCAACAGTCTTAAGGATGTGCAAGATTATGGCTCTAAAGATAATCTTATCAGATAACCCTACCGTGAGTGGTGTGTTATGATATCTCGGAAGTATGTTGGGACAGCTCCGGTGATAAACCCGGACTTTGAAACATGTTGGATTGTCTTGGTCTGATTTTCAGGGACAAATGAACACGCTGACTGATGAATGTGATGTTTAGTCAATCAGAAAGCATGTTTGTTTACTTCAAAGTCACATTTTATCTATCGAGATTTCCCATCCAAGTGGGAACTGTCCAGGAATTAAGTCACTTTTTGCTGAGTATCTGGACACCAAAAATAGCAGGATCAAACTGGTATATCCATTATTTTTATCACCATATGTGGTCTTTCATGCTTTGAAAATCAGCTTTAAAATTCTGCCGTGTGAACTGACTAGGTATTAGCTCATCAATCCTCAAGGACATAAACTCTATTTCTCCAAAAGAAGTTATCTTGGAGTCAAATGTTAATTATTTATAACTTTTACACATGAAACACACTACTAAATAGCCAAAATATCACTTTAACTTCTCTGATCCCAAGAGAAGCCGTGTGCATAAATTAGTTAAGAGCATCACACTAAACTGTTCGTCCACGTGACTGACCACTCCTACTAAGATCTCAGCAGCAGCTCGACGCACTGATAAAGTCATACCAAATACAGACGCACGCACGCACGCACACACACGCACGCACACACACACACACACACACACACACACACACACACACACACACACACACACACACACACACACACACACACACACACACACAAGAATATGACACATTCAGCTGTGGGGGAAACACGCAGCGGCGCTCCAAGTCCAGAATTCCATTTAGAGAGACCCAGACGTTAATCTGACACGTTTCAAATCAGCCTGAGTCATGTTATTAACTGCCTTTTAATGGACATTTCAATGTGTTGTGCATGCTGTGAGGGAGATGTAACTGAAGCCAAACACGTGATAAGAATGACGTTACACTGGCCAGTCTTATGTGAGCGCATCTCTGCGGACTAAACACACAAAATGAAGCTTCAAAATCCACATTTTCTTCCTAACGGGTCAGTATCTGAGCACAAATGTGTTTCCATGATAATTTGTTAAAATACCAGTTTTATAGGCCAGAAAACTGCCTTGTGTTTTATTATTAAAACATTGAGCTGCAATGGTGGACATGCGGTATAAACCCAAATCTTTGATTTGAGGTTGTGTTTATTTTTGCTGAAAATTCAGTGATTTTGGGATCTGTTTAGTACATGAAATATGTCTGTCAATAGACATGTTGTCCTCCGTCGCCCTAGAGGACATTATTGGATCTTTTAATATGACTGAGGACACATTTGTCTTTCAAACTGCATAAAGACTAGACTGCACCCCTGAATGCTGCTCATCTCTGATGCGTTCAATGTCCATTCTTTAATGCTCAGGGTGAACGAGGCCCTAGAGGCCATTTCTCAGAATGAGGCCAGTTCTGCTCCATTCATCATGCTATCATAAAAAAACCCACCAAACTACTCTGAAACCCTGATGATGAGTTGTCTTTGTAAAGATTGTTTTCATCCTCGCTCCTGGGGCCTCATTTATAGAACAAACTTAGGCTGTTGACAGGAAATCGTTGTCCAACTCGTTCATCGTAAGAAGTACACTCCGATATGAAAATGTTCTTATCCGGAGGAAAAGTTTAGACCTGACACATAATCTTTTATTATTTTTTTCCTGGTGTATTGCTTTCCATTAAGGCCTGCGCTGAATTTTAAAAATTGTGTCATTTGATCCCTCAATTAGGCATGTGTGTAATTATTTACTAAGAACAAGGTTTGTCGTCAGGACAACTTAATGTTTATATCAGCCATTTTTAATCGTTCACATCAGCAGCAACCAGGATGCTAAAAATCTAGGTTTTCTCATTTAATTTAAAAGTTCTTTAAATTATGTTTCCTAATCAAATGATTGTTTCATTTTCAGTTTTGATTTACAGATTTCTTTATGCTTCAGAGTGGTTTTCTTTGCCCGATTTTATTTACATAAACATAAACATAAACATTTCTACACACTTCTTCTAAATTATGTGCAGAGCAGGAGGTAAACACTTAATACAACCTCCATAAACCCACCAGGTTTTTCCCCTTTGCACACCTCACATAGTCACCAAAATGTAGCTCTGTCAGACCGAGGATGACGGTGCAGATGGGGGGTGGAGTAATGGTGCAACAGGAAATAGGATGGGAGATAAGGCTAATTATTTGCAATACATGCGGTGAAGCAGGTCAGACGATACTCAGACACCTGCCTGACCTGGTTATTACATCAGCACTACTACCCTCATTTTGCTCAGCTAATGATGCTTGCACCGACACCACATCACTTCAAATAATGTAAATTAATGCCTCACTCGTTTTCGTTCCTCACTCCGCAGCCACAGGCTGGAAGACCTGTGTCTTTGCATTCAAGACAATACGTGCCATAAACTGACTTTGATTCAAGTCTGGCCTCGAGTTTCAGCGATACTCTTTCTACGAAAGTCAGCGATGCCGCCAATTGTCTCGTTAGCTGACGTATCCCAGACGACAGGGATGCTGACATCCGAGGCTTTCTTCTATTAGCAGTCTTGTCAGATGAAGGTGCTTCTTTTATTCAGACCCTTTTTCAAGTCGAGGACAGGACCAGCATCACAATTAGCCCGGGAGGAGGACGGATCTGCAGAATGCAAATTTATGCAGATTAGCATGTTTTAAAGGGATCATTGGAAACACACACAGTCCTCACGCTTGCTTAATTTAAAGCAGACACATTGAAATGTAGATAGTGGGTTTCATTTTCAGCCGTTCCCCGCTTCATGATTTGCCATCATTTTCTTCAGCACTCTTAGCATAAATGATATAACGTAATCTGAGCTTCTTTGTCTCACACTGAAGGCACAGTAGTTTCATTTTCATTAGCTCAACAATTAAAGCGGTAAAAGAAAATAACAGACACAAAACTAATTTCTGTGTTGGAGTTTTCTCAATGTCATTTCATTTCACGGCCAGTTAATGTGGTCACGGAGAGATGATGAGTGATTTTATCTGTCTGACTGTCCGCAGACAAAGACTGGGATTTATTTGATGCAAGAAGGTAATGAGGAGCCGTTTAATATTCGACTGCACTTGGCCAAAGATATTCTGACCATTCAAGAACAAGACGTCATCTGTGTGTCGGGGGAACCTTTTTATTCAAGCGTAAGTAACCCGAGTCTGTGTTGTAACTGTTCGTTGCACTTCATCAGTTTTATTAATGAAACTGAGTCATTCACCAGCTGATCTCGCCGATCTTGAGTAGAGCAGTTACATTTCACTCTATGGCACGCTTGACAGCTTTTCTTTCACGTAAATAAATACATCTTTTTCTAATAAAAATGACTCGTCTGAGATCAGAGTCGATGGCCTTTACCAAAACGACATTTATTCAATAACATTTTACTGGATAAAAATCCTCAAAGACAAATAAACGTTTTTGTCCTCTCAAATGTTGCTGCTACTCCCTGAAAAGGGCAAAGGCATTGTGGCGTGTCACGCGAGGACACCGCCGCCTCATGAGACCAAAGTGAAACTTTACTGCAGACAACCACGGCGATTCATGTTTTCATTTGGCCTCCCTCCTCTTCAAACAGATTTCCTCTCAGCCATGCCGGATCGGCCCGACGTTTATCTGGTGGCGGGTTGATTAGATTGAGGAGTGACGCACCTCAACAGCAAAACATTTGGGTGCTCTGATTGGTCCGGTTGCTCACAGACAGATTTTGAACTGCAAAGAGGTTTTAGACTAAATCGATCAGCAAACTTCCCACAAAGTAAATGTTACATTTTGATGTTGGGGTTTGTTTTTCTCAGAGACATGAGAAAATGACAAAAAAAAAAAAAAAAATAAAAATAAATCAGGACTTGTGACATGTAAACATAAAGCTGTGGCTAACAAAATGAAGTTCCAGTCCTGCTTAGTGACAGCACTATTCCTAATTCTCAATCTTGATGCTTTAAGTGTAGATGGTATTTTATGGCAATTATCTACAAGCTACAGGGTGCTGATATCTGTATATTTAACATTAGTCCCACTGTGGTAAATGTCTCAGATGTTTGATAATAAAATGTGCATCATGCATTTTTCTTCCTCCCACAACTGCATTTCTATAGTTAAGTGACATTTACCCACAGCTACAATGTGAGAACGTTTTCAGTTTTTTTGTAAATTGTTTCGAATGATGCTTCTGGTTGCATCTAAATGATCATGTTTGCTGAGTGGCCAAGGCATGTTCATGGCTTTTAGCTGCAGAACTGCACAGACAAGCAAATCAGTCATGAAATGCATCACAAAAGAATTTTCTAGAAATGCAACGATTCTAAGGCCAAAATCGACTTATGGTTCTTGTACAGCCCTGACCAGCCAGATGCTGATTTATTTCCAAGAACTAAAATAAACAAAATGTGTGTTATTTCAATGTCTGGTTAACAGGAAGCAAAAATGTTCTCATGGAAATTTGAACTAGAGAATTTGTTTTATTGATACTTGGCAATGGTGTATTAAAGCAGTAATCCTGAGATTTCCCCCTTTCAGGAATTATGTGTAATTTATTAGAAATCTGTAACATTGATAATCTGACTCTGGTATGGACTCAGATGATAATTCAACCCTGGAATATCTTCATCTGCCGGGTGCAGTAGAATATTTGCTGTCAAAACTTTCTTGCCCATGAGAAATGTCGCCAGCTTTGCATCAGTCTAGATCAGCGGTTTTCAATAGGCGGCCAGGCCCTCTTCGGGACCCTTCTTTGTGGCCCTCAAATCGCCACCCCCACCCCCACCCCCCGGTCCAGCCATCGCAATTGTGCCGGAGGGGTAGGAACAGCGCTGGTGTGTATTTGTGTTAGGTTATATTGTGTTGGTTTTCTGTGGAGTATGACCTGCCATCCCCCCACCCCTACCCAGACCTCGAACTTATTTTTTGAAAATGCCCCTTGGACCATTATATTTGAGTACCCCTGGTCTTGATACTTCCTCAAATGCTCGCGCACACTCTGATTGACAGCAAGTTCAGCTAATGGCTAATGCTGTTGGCTAATGCTGAGTGGCGCTCAATTCAAATTGCATGGGGCTCTGTGACACTGCGAGGTTAGCAAAATAACAATTTGACATATTTGCCTACATTATACCAGTTTACCCACTTTTATGGGTTTCTAAAAAAAATCATACATAAATATGAAAGGGGGAAACTCCAGATTGCTGTTTAAAGTCACAAGCTGTGTTTGATACGTTTTACTGGATGCATGAAACCCAAATCAGATGTGACAGGTGACTCAGAGTAGATTTATGAAAGAAAGAAAAACTAATTAAATAGAAAAAAAGAAATATGAAGTTTATACCCTAACAGTAACAACCATCTTGCTTTGCATTTATTTCCCATTCTGATATCGATATCGGAAGTGATTTGACATCGGCCCAAAAACAGTGTATCCGATTATATTGGGCGGCATCAAACACCTCCGATATAAGCAAGGTTTAAATTTTTGCAACCAGTGGTTAAGAAAAAATTGTCATTTTTTCATACTTACTGTTATTGGCTATAGGCCGATTGAGTAATATCACTTGATCAAGCCTTTCATACATTCCACACTACGAAATAGGTAAAGGTATGTATGATTTGTGCTGATGTCGTATCTTGATATCAGTAGTGGTCAATACTGACGGCTGCAATATCGGTATCATATCGGAAGTGAAAAAGTTGTATCGATTCGGCACATCCCTACTTTAAAATGTACTAAAAAATGTGTGTGTGTGCTCTACTTCCTTATATAGTAAAATCCCTAAAAGATAACATGGCAGGAAATTTCAGTTTGGGTAGCAATTAAATGGCTAGTCTATATCTCTGAGAGTAATTAATGCATTAACAGCATCAATTCAACAAAAATGCATAACTGCATCAGAATTCTTCACATTTAATCAGTAACACTGCAGCATCATGAAATAAAACGTGTTATTCTAGCAATAGTAGATTGTGAGCTTTAAGCTAACAAGAGCTTTAAGCTAACAGGTGCTTGTAAACAACATAAATTCAGATTAAGTTACCAACTCAGAGTAAATCAATATTAGCATTAAAGTGCTAACACATAATTAGCTTTATGTTTCATTAACACACAATAGGCTAACGGTGTGTCACATCTAAAATGGTCTGGATGGAAACGCTCCTGATTTCAGGCTGATCAATTTATATTTGTGTTTTCTAGGTTCCAGGTTGTAACAAAATTATCCATGTGGACTTTACATAAAATATTTAAATGTATGATGGTATTAATCTGTTATTTTATTAGTTTCTATTTTTGCTAATAGTCCCTCACAAGCCTAGGGTCTGAGCTCATCTCTTATCTCTTGCAGGAGAGGACCGTAACCATCAGGAGGCAGACGATTGGAGGGTTTGGCTTAAGCATCAAGGTAATTTAGATCCTATCTGATTAGGTCGTCCGTCTCGGTCCTTTAAATAGAGTGTGAACAAGTGTTATTGATCACTTCCTTGTCAAACTGCAGCAACGGTGAACAACAGTGCACGGTCATAAGATTCCTGCGGTTCCTTTGTGATTCAGTTCATTTCATTTTCCACATTTCAGGGCGGAGCAGAGCATAAAATCCCTGTTGTGATTTCAAAAATATCAAAGGAACAAAAAGGTAAAAGATCTTTTATGTTAATGCTTTGCCCTCTCCTGATAATTCACGCTTTTTAATTGGAGTTTGTTAAAGATTTTTGTTGCTTTGTTTGTTTCCAGCTGAACTCTCTGGGCTGCTTTTCATCGGAGACGGTATCCTTCAGGTAAAAGTGTCACACGAATGCTTCCTCCACTCATTTCACAAAATACTCGCCATCTTTAATAACTCATGTGCCACATGTCCCCATTACCTCATGTAATTACTCATCTCCAATAGGCACAGGGTCTTTTATTTATTGCATGTATTCCAGCCAAATGAATAGGAAAAAATCACACCTCCCCCACGTAATAACTGTGCTTGTGACATCCGAATTTGCACTTTTCCAACACAAACGCCACAACAGTTATTATGCTTGTCTCATTAATCATTTTGAAGTTTTACTGATATGGAGCCAGGAGTGTGTGATTCAGACTACCTGTGTTACTCTTGTTTCCAGATTAATGGGATAAATGTCAGAAGCTATCGCCATGAGGAAGTGGTGAGCTGTCAGCTCAGATCTCATACTTTCATACCTTGCTACAACTCTTTTCAGCAGCTTATCTTGTCTCATGTGATGATTTGTATCTTTTTGACACGTAAAGCCAATTTTTTCCTGTCTTTCATCTCTTTTTAAGAGTACCGTTTTTGTGTAAGAAAATAGCATACGGTAACTCTTCAAGTCCTTATCTTGGATTGTTTTTTGTTCTCAGACGCGTGCACGCTGTGTTTCATCCCAGCAGGCAATCTGCAAATAAACAAACAAATAAACTGTAACTTTCAGGTGCAGGTGTTGAGAAACGCTGGCGAAGAAGTGACTCTGACGGTGTCTTTCCTGAAGAAGACTCCGGCCTTCCTTAAGCTGCCGCTGTGCGAGGACTGCATTTGTGAGGAGCCTCTGGTTATTCTCTAGTTTCACGTCCTAAGTGCGCCACTGCCGTGGAAAGTAATTAACCAGGATTATTTTTAGCTAGAAGTGGTTGTCTTGGAAACAATCATGTCAAGCCACGTTCAGAAAAATAAAATGATAAAAAGAAAAAAATCTGCAGTTTTCTTGAGGAAAATCAGAGAAAGATGCTGTTTTTTTTTTAAATGGAGGGACTAAATTGAAACAATTGATGATGTGATCACTCTCCCATGAGAGCGTCAGCCCATCATCAGACTTGGAAGCTTTAGTAAGATCCTTTTATTAGTGATTGGAGGCCAGGTTCACTGGTAAGTCAGCTGAATGCAAACAGGCACCAAGCAGGCGCTATCTTTAGTTGATAAAACAGAATGAAAGTGTGATATTTGTGTCTGTGTTCTCCCTGCTGCATCTCCAGGCATCCCCAGTGATCAGAGCAGCGGGACTTCATCTCCTCTCTGCGACAGCGGCCTGCATCTAAACTACCACCCTAACAACACGGTACTCTTCATTAGCCTCCTCTGTCACTGACTGCTGCTATAGCCCTCCTGCTGTATCTACGCGGCAGCATTGCGAGTGCCAGTGAGTTGTTTCCATGCAACTGCTCGCTGATAACCGTGATGCTCTATCTTTGTCATTTGAAAAGGGTGAATCAGCTCTAATCTGCAGCTTTTCATGCATCTTCAACACTGAGCAGCTGCAGAGGCAGCGCAGCTCAGGCTCTTGACGTGAGCGAGACAGGAAGCTCCTCTAAGTTATCTGTTTCACCCCGCTACAGGACACGCTGTCCTGCTCGTCCTGGCCCACGTCTCCGGGGCTTCGATGGGAGAAGAGATGGGTGGACCTGCGTCTCATTCCTCTGCTACACTCTCGCCTGTCACAGCACATTCCCGGCTCTGACGTCTGCAGGTGAGCTATGTGGCCCGCGTCTTCAACTGTCAGCCGCTTTAGGGCTCAATATAATGGTTGTTCTGAAGTCTCCTTTCATGGGAATTTTTGTGAAGCAGCACATTGTCATGCTTCTTCTTTAAGTAGGCCATGTGTTTTGATTTTTCACCTCTTTTTAAAACATGACTCACCCTTCCGATCTTAACCATTCTGTTTGTAAGAAAACAACTGAACCACGACTCTTTTACAAGCTCAAACACATCACAGCAATCACATCAGACAGAATCAACCACATTCTTCTGTAGTAGATGCCATCCGTGCACATTATCTCAATAATAAAATGCTGCAACCCTACAAAAATCATTCGAGATTAACACGGGATGCATCATTTCGTTACGTGCCATTGAGTTTTTACCTGTTTGTCAATATTTATCATAAACCGCTCGTATCTCGCAGAGCTCACCCAGGACTGTAAATATGCATGTGAGAAGCAATAAAGAATAAAATGAGCTCATCAGTCACTTTCTTATTTTTTCATCTTCATAATAAACAACAATTCATTTTATTTTATTCAACTCGCAGGTTCTCATTTCTTTACTAAAAATCAGTTTAAACAATAATTAGGTTCATGATGACAGCGATCTATTTCATCTGCAATAATTTGGTTTATTTTTTTATCTGCCCTAACATTTATCGGTTGCAGTTTTTTCTGTTGCTTAAACACATTTCTTGAATCTATGCTTTGTATTCTCACAACAGTAAATCCAGACAAATCCATAACGTTGTGGCGCTGTCACATTAGTGTCCCTTTAATAAAACCTATTTACAAACATCTCATAGTGATTTACCTGAATATGTTGAGTTAAGGACATTCTAAGAGGATGTTTTTATATTTATTGTTTCTGCTGAATTAATGGGACAATTAGGGGAAAGGCGTGTCTGCGCCAGCGAGCCTTTATTAGAACAGGTGTGTGCCGCGCTGAATAACAAAAAAGGAAAAAGGGAGACAACGCCAGACATCCGAGCGTGGAGGTTATCAGCATGGGCGCGGAAGAAGATCCTGAGGATTGACGCCCAGCAAACTGTCGGGTCGACTGAGGTGCCAGTGAGAAGTGCAGAGGTCACAGCAGAGTCACCTGCCCGGTAAAGCCAGAGAGAGGGGCAGATCGCGCTGGAGAGCCATGACGACTGGGCTGCTTCACTTGTTGGCTTACTCACCTCCAGGACCCGGAAAACTGCTGAACCCGACTCGGAGCGAGAAGTAGCTGAGAGCGAGATAGGAACAAAGCTTGCATCCCGCTGCTGCGGCCCCAAGTGGAGCCGGTGAGATCTGCCTGTTTTGAGGGGGGTATTTATTACCGGTATACCACCCATTTTTTCATTATTAGGAGCAATCACCTTTTTGTATATTTTTTGCGCAAGATAATTTGGGGGATTAAGGACAAATAATACTAGACTTCTGCTCCTATTTAATTTAAAAAATATATATTATTCATATTTTATATATATTATATATGTTTTAATCTATTTAATTAAATTTTTTAGATGGGCATTTAGGGGTTATTTTGTTTGCAGTATTGACTTGATTATGTCACTGGAAAAAAACTGAATACATATGGCCAAGTGGCACAACTGAACTGATTGTGTGGAGTGTCCTTTTTTGTTGAATCACAGGGGTCTTACTGACTCAAGCAGAGATTTTTTTATTTTGTTTTATTTTTTTGTGGGTTTTGAAACTTTTTATATGTTCATCAGCGACACAGCCTTTTCACCAGCAGTTTGGGAGGCTGATTGTTGCAACGTCTCGCCCAGTTTCTCAAACATTGTATTTTCAGGTCAAAATGAAGCTCTAGACTCAAAACTGTTCACTCTTGCTGAAAAACTTAAATTTGCCCACACACACAGACACGCACGCGCGCACACACACACACACACACACACACACACACACACACACACACACACACACCTACTTGTACACTAGACCTACTTCTCCTCCTCCTCCTCCTCTTGCACCTCCTCCACCCTGTTGTTCTAGACATCCTTCTCCACTTCTTCCTTTGCATCTCTTTGGATCCATCAAAGTTTGTGATTGGTGTGTGTTAAATTGTGACTGTAGTGTTTCCAGTTGGTTAATTGTGTGTTACTTGAGCTCCAGCTGTGCTGACGTCCATCAACATTATTGACTGCTAGTGCTTTCTAAACGACCACATGGTGTCAGCACTGAAAAAGGTTGGGATTTGTGTGTGGAGTTTTGCAGTAACAGTTCACCAAATCGGACTCATGTTAAAGCAGGGGAATAGTGTGTACGGTTCAGGGGAATGGGTGTGCTTTTTGAAAAATGGAATTACGGTTTTGGAATTTGAGTTCAAAAGATCGGTGATAGTGTTTAGGCAATCAAGAAAAAACTGTAAATGTTGCACGTTTGAAACTCATTAAGCTGTCGATGCATCTAATTTTTTCTTCAATACTGAGGCTGATAGAAATAGACTTTTAGAAATTGGCCATTGATGTTTTAGTCCATTAACTGAAAACTGAACAGGGGAATTATAAAAGTTTAGTGATTTATGAGGCACAGCTTTCAGATTATGTTGCAACTAAATGATGGTTTCCAGACTTCAGTTTTAAACTTTCTTTAAAAGGGTAATCTGTTCTGAGCAGCAAAACATGCAGATAATTAATTATTCTAAAATCTGTTTGTTTATGCTTTTGTAACTTTATATTTGCAGGATTTAAAGCAAAATATGAGGCTTGAATTCATGGTTTTTGCTTGAGCTTTGCTGAAATGTGTACATTTTT